GTATGATTGGTGCCCGGCCAGAGTGGCTTAGCAGTTGAACATTCAGGAGATCAAGGTTCGATTCCCAGTCAGGGCACATGCCTGGGTCGCAAGCTCGATCCCCAGTAGGGGGCATGCAGGAGGAAGCCGACCAATGATGACTCTCTCATCATTGATGTTTCTATCTCTCTCTCTCCCTCTCCCTTCCTCTCTCTGAAATCAATAAAGACTTTTTTTTTTTAGAAAAAAAGCATGATTGGTGTTTATAGATTAACCTGGTATCTGATGACTGCTAAACTCACTTATTCTAAGAGTATTTCTACAGCTTCTCTGAAATTCTTTGGATATATAATTATGTCTTCTGTGAATAAAAAGTTGTATTTCTTCCTTTCCAATATTTATATTTTTAGTTATTTTTCTTGCCTTATTGCGCTAAGACTGTCAGTACTATGTTGAATAGGAATAGTAAAAGTGGATATCCTTGCCTTGTTACCAACCTTAGGAGAAAAGCATGCAGTCTTTCTTCATTAAATATGATGTTAGCTGTAAGTTTGTTTGCAGATGCCCTTTCTCAGGTTGAGAAAGTTCTCCTCTAGTCTAGTTTGCTGAGAGTTTTTTATTATTATTACTTTGGATGTATTTTAAATGCTTTTCCTGTATTTATTGATATGACCATGTGGTTTTTCTTCTTTAAATGTTACTATGATAGATTTTTGCTTTCCTGGGATGAACTCCCCTTTGGTGGTGGTGTATTGCTCTTTTTATATTTTGCTGGATTGAAACTTCTAACATTTTGTTGAGGATTTTTTGCATCTATGTTTATCAGAGATGTCAGCGTCTAGTTTTCTTTATTTCTACTGTCTTTGTCTGGTGTTGATATCAGGGCAATATGAGTTAGAAAGTATTCCCTCCTCTTCTGTTCTCTGGAAAAGATCGTGTGTATTTATTGTTATTTATTCTTTAAATAGTTGATGAAATTCACCAGTGAAACCATTTGGACCTGGAGATTTCTTTTTCAGAAAGTTTTAAAACTTTCTTTAGTAATTATAGGGCTACTCAGGTTATATTTTTACTCTAAAGTCTAGTTTGTCCACTTTCTTTTTGGTTCATGTTTGCATGGTATATCTTTTTTTTTTTTAAGCCTCACCCAAAGATATTTATTTTTTCTATTGCTTTTCAGAGAGAGAGAGAGAGAGAGAGACATCGATGTGAGAGAGACACATCAATTGGCTGCCTCCCACATGCGCCCTGACCCCAACAGGGGCTGGAGATTGAGCTTGCAACCAAGGTACGTGCCCTTGGCCGGAATTGAACCTGGGACCCTTGAATCTGCGGGCTGATGTTCTAACCACTGAGCCAAACCAGCTAGAGCTGCATGGTATATCTTTTTCCACCCCCTTACTTAATTATATTTGAAATGAGTTTCTATTTTAAAAATCCAGTCTGCTTTTTTTAAAGTCCCACATCTCAGGGAACCCCCAAACCTGGATGATGGTCATCTTATACACCCTGCATATGTGATCTCATGAATATTTTTCCACCCATCCCCCACTCCCCTTTTGCAATCAAAGGAGTTCGGAGAGCAACAGGTATGTAATGGGAGGCTCCCAGGGCTCCAAGGAAGGTGTAGACAAGGAATGCTCTGAAGCACAAAATAGGGCAACTCCCCCTGACACTCTCACCACTACAGCTGTCTAGTCTCTTAACCCACTCACTTCCCAGTAGTGAGAGTGGTGGGATGGCTGAGGAGTTCCAGGGACCAAGGTGGCGCCCTCTAAGGACTTTGAGGATGGAATCTCCTGGAATTTCAGGTGATCCCAATTTCCCAGAGTGGCTCATCTGCTTTCTCTAGTACCCCTGGACCCAGGAACTCAATCTAGTAGGACCCAGGTTCTAGCCCTCTTCCCTTTCAGTGGGAGCCTCCCCCATGACAAACATTAAACCCCCTGCACTATCTGAGTCTTTCCTGGCCAATTTCCCAAACAGCCATTTAGTCAACCAAACTTCTAAAAAGACATCTACTTGATAGTGAATCGACATCTAGTCAACCTGTGAACCTAGACTTAAGGTCAACCCCCAAATCAAAACATCTTGTCAAACCACAAAACTGGCCATCTGTCAACCTTACTTACCAAAAGGCACTCTGTCATCATCTCTGAGGGTCCCTGCACATTTTTTGCTCAGCATGCCAGAAATGCAAGGCCCTGACCACTCTTCACACAGGCCATTTTTCAGAGTTGTGTTTAACAAGCTCCCTTGAGAAATGAGGTAGCATTTCCTTCCAGAAAAGAAGTAGATTTGTTACTGTTCATTATAAGAGCAATTAATCCTCCACATTTAGTGTTCTTCTCCTATAACACAACCCACTATGTTCACAGACATGCATGTAGGCCCAACTGTATTACCCCGTTAGAGAACCAGCTCAAACGTTATGCTGACACTCTGGCTACTGCTTTTGCTGTGAATAGTAAAGTCTTTTATCTCTGACCCAGGAGTCTCATGTCTTCTGCTTACACCCTAGAAATAAGATAGCTTCTTAGCTTGCAAATAGGGTAAAATCTCAGACCCTTTACAGTTCTGGACATTGGCCTGCACCCATCATACACCAGACTTCTCATACCAGGCACTAAGTACTGTTCTTCCTGCCATATACCAACTCCTAACCTATGCTGCCAACTACTAGCTCCCCAATGTGCCGTCTAGAGACTAACTCCATACTAATAGACCTAGAACCTACCTCCTACTTTTTTTTTTCTAATCCTCACCCCAGGATATTTTTTCCATTGCTTTTCAGAGAGTGGAAGGGAGAGAGAAAGAGAAAGGAATATCGATGTGAGAGAGACATCAATTGGTTGCCCCCCGCACGTGTCCTTACCAGGGCCGGGGATCAAACCTGCAACTGAGGTACATGCCCTTGGCCGGAATCAAACCCAGGACCCTTCAGTCCACAGGCCGACGCTCCAACCACTGAGACAAACCAGATAGGGCCCTACCTCTTACTCTTTGCTTCAGAGATTAAGTTCAAACCTCTCCCTCTAGAGACTGGGTCTTGTCCTCTCCTGTCAGAAACCAAGTCAGTACCTCTGCTTCCAAAGGATAAGTCCCAACCTGTGCCACGAGCAACTAAGTTCCCCAATTTCCCCTCCAGAGACCAACTCACAATTTCAGCTGCAGAGTTCAAGTCCTCATTTTTAGTCCTAAGATGAAGTCTTCAATTTTCACTGCAGATGCTAAGTCCCAATTTTCATAAGTGGTCACCAAAGCTATCTAACCACCTGACCTCAACAGAGTATTCCATGATACCGTCTCTCATGCAGATGAGAAAGGAATGGGGAGAGACTGACAAAGATAGACCCTGGAGTCTTCCACAGAGGGTACAGAGCCCTTTTAGAACTGATACTAGGGTAACCAGGAACAATAAGCAACCCTGAGCAAGGCCTCCCTAGCCTCTGTAGCTGGTTAGTCTTTCAATAATGACCCAGGCACCTGGAAGGCCCATTTCTTGAGTAGAAGAAGTTGGAAAGCAGTGAGACTGCCATGGGACAACTTCAGGGGCCAACACCAAGGGTGCAGAGTCCTTTTAGGAAGGGCCACTAGGGAAAAAGGATGAATCCAAATGCCAATGCATGCTCACACAACAAAGCTGGCTAGACACACAACCTGAACCTGGACACTTAGTGGCCTCATCTCTTGTGCAGAGGAAGAAGCAGTTGATGAGAATGGCACATCAACCTTGAGGTTCTCCCTCGTGAATGCAATGGCCTTCAGAAGGGGCACTACAGGAGCTGGAGGGATCCAAAGCCCCAAGCAGCCCTCCCTTTCTGCATCCAGCTGGCCTTCCAATAACTACCAGGGATCTATGGCCCAGTTTATCATGTGGGGGAGGTTGAAGAACAGTGGAATCCCATGGGGTGATCCCAGAGGCCAATGTAAAGAGTGGACAAATCTTTCAGGGAAAACTTCTGTTAAGCAGGGACTATTTGAAACTTCATCTAAGCTCTACTCTCTTCATCCAGCTAGCCACCTGACATTGTCACTCTGACAACATGGTCTGGAAGGTTGATTGACTTGTTCAGCTTTACACTGAAAGCTGGGATGACTTGCTAAGTTCCCATGGACCTCCACACAAGGTCCATAGGCCTTTTAAGAGGTCACCTCCAGGCACCTAGCACTTTGGAGGCTTCCACAGAGGATAGGCTTGCTGGGCCCCAGGTTCCCACCTCTGCAACCAATGGGACCAGCACCAAAAGCCCTTGGGGTCTCTGAAGAGGGTACATAGGCTTTTTTGAGAAATGTCCTGACATTCAGGGTTGGTCCTTACCTCCAGACCAAACTTGGCCAACTGCAACAGTTAATCATGCTACTGCAACTGAGTGACTTCTTGGCCTTGGTTATATCACCTGAGAGAAATCAGATAGCATCTGGAATGACTGGATGAGCCCCTGAGGGCCTCTGCAGTGAAGGAAGAAGCCTTTTGGGTGGAATTTCAGCCAACTAGGGAACATGTTAAACTTGAAACTGTGCTCCCCCACCTGCATATAGCTGTTTAACATCGTCCTGGTTGTCCTCTGACCCCCATTCTTAACCTGGGGAGGTCAAAAAGGAGCAGGACCAGCACCACCAGGAGGCCCTAAGGACCTGTGCAAGGGATGCAGAGGTGAAGGATGCCTCTGAGAAGTCCATGGAGGCCAACACAGAGCATTCAGAGACCTTTTAGAAGAGGCCTACTGTGGAACTGGAGTGATCCCAATCCCCAAGATGTGCTCCCCTAATTCTAATTTGTAGCCAGGTAGCTAACCAACATCAAGGAACTTCCTGGACCTGTTTCTAACCCTTACCTAACCCTGACCCTGAAATTGAACATTGAACTCAACCTAAACTTAACCCTAACACTAATTCTGACCATGAACCCAACCCTCACATCAATCATAACCCTAAACCTGCTTCTAAACCTGACTATAAACCCTAACACTAAAGCTACAAATAAACTAGATCCTAAACTACCTGATCATGCTGTCTGCACTGGGAGCAGCTCTCCTGCCACAGCTCCTCATCCCCTGAAAATGTATGCCTGTGCCAAGTTTATCTCCTCCCCCCTCCTTGGTCGGGAGCACCTCTCAGCTGCTGAGCCGATCACTGCCTGCAATGGTGCTGAAATAACCAGAGACACTGACAGATGACAGCCTCAACAGCTTGGCAGCCTGACATCCCCTGACTTCACTTATTTCTAGCTGCAGCTTCCAAACCAGCGCCATTTCAAGGGACAGCAACACAGCAACCAAGTTCTTTGGGGCTGGGGCTGCCACAATAGGGGTGGCTGACTCTGAGGCTGGAACTGGGACTTTTCCAATTCAGCATTAAGGTTAGGTTTAGGGATAATATTAGTGTCGGGGTTATGGTTACATTTAGGATCAATGATGAGGCTCCTAAAGAGGAGCCTCATCATTGGTTATGCCAGGAACCCTTCTCTGAAGCAACAGTTCTTCCCTCACACCATTCTGGGCTTTGACCTCTCAGAGGCCATGGGGCCTTTTTGCCTGATGGTGGCCTTTCTCATCCTCTTCACCATGTAAAGGAGCCGGCTCCACCTCCCATAGTTCTTTCTCCCGTGTCTCGTCTGTGTGTTCCTTTTCCTTTACCTCCCCAGGAAGCCTAGGGAAAGTGGTTGACTATTGCTTTGACAGAGGGAAGACAAATCAATACTGTATTAATAAGAAAAAAATTTACCTGATCATGACCCTGACTGTGACCCTAACCGTTAACCTAACCCTAAACTTCATCTTTACCCTAAACCTATCCCTAACCATGAACCTGACCCTGACTTAAACCTAACCAGAACACTATCACCTAGTACCTGACCTAACTCTGCATCTAACCCAGTCCTGACCCTGATACAAATACTGAACATAACCCTAATCTTGACCCTGACAATAAACTTGACTCATCCTAACAATGATTCTAAAATTGACACTCACTCAAACTCTAACCACAAACCTGACCCTGATCCTAATCATGAAATTAACTGTTTCTCTGACCCTGACCCTTACCTTGATCCTAAATGTAACCATAATCCTGACACTAATAGTATCCCTAAACCTAACCCTAATGCTGATTTTGTAGGAAAATGTGTTATTCTGACTTTGTTTTTACATATACTGTTTATAATATTTGCTCTAATTAGCCATAAGAAGTTACTTTTAAGAAGAATGTCATTTTGATGTTGTTTTCACTGAACTTGTCCTCAAAAATACTGCTGAGTTTAATCTAAATTTACTCTAACTTGCCCGACCGGGCGTGGCTCAGCGGTTGAGCATCGACCTAGGATCCAGGAGATTAGGGTTCGATTCCCCGTCAGGGCACATGCCCGGGTTGCAGGCTCGGCAGCCAATCAGTGACTCTCTCATCATTGATGTTTCTCTCTCTCTCTCTCCCCCTCCTTTCCTCTCTCTGAAATCAGTAAAGATATGTTTTTAAAAAAATTTTTTTAACTTACTCTAACTTACAATAAGAAGATATTTTGGAGGAGAACGTGTGATCCTGGGCACATGTTTACTTATACTGCTTAGATTAATCTATATTTGTTCTAACTTTGAAGAATTGGTTTTCTTGGCAAAGAATGTGAGGTTCTGAGCTTGTCTGAAAACATACTGCTTCTCTTCATCTAGATTTGCCCTTACATTGGGAAATTACTTCTAAGAAGAATGTGTGATTCTAAGCTTGTTTTCACTCATATTGCTTAATTCCATCGAAGTTGTACTAAATCACCACATGCAATTATTTTTTAGAAATATGCGTGATTCTGTGTTTATGTGTACACCTACAGCTTAGGTCATTTTCTCTAACCATCAATAAGATATTACTTTTGTGAAAAATTTGTGATTCTATGTTTTAAAATAAAGCTCTTAATTTCACCTAGATTTGCTTTAAAAACTCACTTTAAAAAGTTTATTTAGGGCCCTAGCCAGTTTTCTCAGTGGTTAGAGTGTCAGCCTCCTGACTAAAGGGTCTGGGGTTCAATTCCAGCCATGGGCATGTAGATTGGTTGTAGGCTCAATCCCGGGCCCTGTCGGGGTGCGTGCAGGAGGCAGCCAGGAGATGTGTCTCTCTCAGGTCGATGTTTCTCTCTTTCTGAAAAGCAATGGAAAGAAATATCCTCGGGTGAGGATTTATTTTTTAAAGTTTATTTAGGGAAAATATGTGATTCTGTTATTTGCATATAAACTGCTTAGTTTCACTAGATTTATTCTAAATTGGAAACTTCCCAAAGTATTGGGAAGTTACTTTGGAGAAGAATGTGTGATTCTGAGCTTGTCTGCACATAAAGTACTTAGTTTCAGTTAGATTTACCTGAATCCAATTAAGAATTATTTTAAGGCTTAAGTTACTTGAAAGTAAATTGCTTAGTTTTAACTAGATTTCTTCTAAGTCCTATTGAGGGGTTACGTTGGAGAAAAAAATGTACGATTCTGGTTCTGCTTCCATCAAAGGTAAACAGGGATTATATTTACCCTTCCATCTGGAACAAACAAAGAAACCTGACCAAATAAATGAAACAACAGATTTTAAGCACTGAACAGCAGGCAACCAAAAACTGAGAGATAGGAAACAAATTAAGTGATTACTTATGATTCTTCCAATTTATTGCCTTGAGAAAGTCATCACTAATCATCAGAAAAATGTAAATTGAAACCACAATGAGATGAAATCTCACATCTGTTAGAATGACTATTATAAAAAAGACAAGAAATAAGTGCTGGTGAGGATGTGGAGGAAACGGAACACTGTTCACTGTTGGTGGGCATGCAGACTGGTGCAGCCACTATGGAAAGCAGTATAGAGTTTCCTCAAAAGATTAAAAATTGACCTGCCATTTGACCCAGTGATCCCACTTCTAAGAATATATCCTAAGGAACCCCAAACACCAATTACAAAGAACTTATGCACCCTTATGTTCACAGCAGTGCAATTTACAATAGCTAAGATCTAGAAACAGCCCAAGTGCCCGTCAGAAGATGAGTGGATAAAAAGGCTGGGGCATATTTACACGGTGGAACACTATGGAGCTGTGAAAAAGAAAGATCTTTTATTCTTTGGCACAGCATGGAGGGAACTAGAAAGTATTATGCTAAGTGAAATAAGCCAGTCAGAGAAAGACAAGTACCACATGACCTCACTTATATGTGGAATATAATAAACAAAATAAACTGATGAACTAAGTGGATCCAGAGACATAGAAGCATGGAACAGACTGAGGGATCTCAGAGGGAAGGCAGGGAGGGGGGTGTGGGTGGGGAGAGATTAATCAAAGAACTTATATTTATAAGCATAATTCATGGACATAGACATTGGTATGGGGAAAGCCTGGGGGTGGGATGGATGTGGGGTGGAGGGGATCAGTGGGGATAAAAAGGGGACATCTGTAATACTCTCAACAATAAAGATAAAGAAACTTAATAAATAAATAAATACATAAATAAATAAGTAAATAAATAAATAAACAACAAAAAAAGATAGGACCACAGACATGGAAACATGAAACAGACTGACAGATCTCAGAGGGGAGGCAGAAAGAGGCCTGGAGGAGATTGACCAAAGAACTTATAAGCATATATGCACAGCCCATGACACAGACAATAGACAGGTGAAAACTTGGGGAGGTGTGGGAGATGGGGGCGGGGGTAAAGAGGAGAAAATGGGGGATATCTGTGAAACTCTCAACAATGAAATAAATTTTAAAAATAAAATAAAATAAAAATAAAAATACGAGAGAGAGAGAGAGAGGTCTAACCCCAAGCCTAACTCTAGTAATATGATCTAGAACCATGTACATCCAACAGGAGAATCTGGGTGACTGAACCATAATTAAGTTCAAATCCCCTAGGCCCCTTTTGGGCTGAGCTACCACCTGGAGGGTTACCAACTAGGCTGGCCTGGGATTGCTATGAGGGGAAGGAAAACTACATCATGTCCAAGAATGGCAGGGCTGAATCCCGAATTTTCAAAATAGGTTTCTGCAATCCACCTCTTTTGTCTTGGTCATTATCCAGGAAGCGACCCCATTCTGGGGGCAGCCACATTCAGTGATCAAACTGCCTTACTAAGGTGTGTGGATCAGGAGGAGGTGAGAGAGGCAGAGTCTGAAATCCTTTTTATTCCATTTTTGAGGAAGCCGTTCAATGCTCAACAATATTAAATTAAATATGTGCTGATGGTAGGGAGCATGGAATGTCTATGAAATACTTTGACTGTTGGCCCATTGTTGAGTGTACCCCTGCCAAATTGCAAATGGTCTGCATTAGAAACGAAGTCTTTTCCATTGTCCAGTCTCTGATGGTGGATGCATTGCCATGTCCAAGAGGCAAAGGCAATCGGCTCCATCAGCAGCTTAATCCCGATGGATTCACTGGAGAGCAGATCGTTACTATGGGCATCTACAGAGTCACCCAAACTGACCTAACTACTAACCATCTACTACTGATCCCCACATGCCCCCATCATTGTCCCCAAACCCCCATTGCTCTCACCAGAAACCCTCTATGGAAGCCTCTCAGGCCCCAAAATCTCAAATCAAGTTCCAATTCATTGTCAACTGCTGTTAGGCTGCTTCTGAGGACCCCTCTATTTCTGTTCTCCATTCCTAAGATCATCTTTTCTAAGGGCTGTTCTTTTTTCAGAGGTGCAGTAAGGTTGCCTTTTCTGTCCAGCATGGGGAAGTTAAATTGCTCCAGAGCTGTGATTTTCAAATGTTTTAAAGTATTATAAGCCTTTTTAAAAACAGATAAGATGAGGGTGGGCGGCTGGCTACCCGTGGAATTTGGCTTTCCTTCTTAAACGAAAGCAGGGTCAGTCAAGGACAAGATCCCTCCTTTCCAGCAACAAGTCGCCCCGCCCCCAGCTCAAGAGAACATGATTATTGGATGATAAGCCTGTCAGTCAAAAAGCAAGACCCTACCCTCAACTGCCAAAAAAAAAACGAGCGCTCCTTAAGAGCCTGTTTTCACTCGGCGGGTCCAGGCCCCGCGCTCCCTGACAGATCGAGTTTTCAATCGGCTCTTGTCAATCAGCCCTCCACTCTCTCTCAGCAGAGCCAAGACCTCAGGAGCAAGAGCTCTCGATTGGCCACCGCTGCCTTTCAGCTGGAGAGCCCACTCTCCAAAGGTGTCAGGGCTGCTCTGATGAACAGCTGATTTACCCCAGAGCTGTCACTCGCCTGCAGATCCGCCTCTTCCTGGACATCTAAGGGCAAAGAGAGAGAGAGGCGGGCCAACAAAGAGGCTCTGAGCCCATCCCCACTTCTTTCTGCTGATCCTTTCAAGGTGTCGTGTTCCCATGCCCAGTGTCACCCAAGGAGGGAAGGGAGGCCGCGGGGCAATGTTGATTTCCCTGACTGTAAGGGAGCAGTGGGGAAACTAGCCTCTGCGCAGCCGAATTAAAGAAAACAAAAACTTGGGGGCGGGTCCAAAACACTTCTAAAGATTAAGTCAAAGCGCTGCTACTTTGTTATTCTCATCCTGCCCTTAGGTGTCGGCTTTCACTCATACTGCCCAAGTAGAATCTCGGTGTGGGAAAATTT